TTTCATTTTCTAGTAGTACAGTAGTATATTAAAATGATAAATATTTTTAAAAATTATGCACTTTGATTGCTAATTATCACAGAAAATCATGTAGATGCAAGGGCTTCACATTAGCTTCGCATACTCATTGTTAGAAACTATTTCGACTAGAGCTTGATCCGGATCAAAGCTCATATTATTTATACGGCATATGGCATCTATACTACTTACGGCATTTATACTACTTACGGCATTTAAATGGCATATGGCACTTCTACTTATACGGCAAATGTGTCGTATCACCGTAATTTTTTTGCTGGGGTAGTTACCTTCAAGATTTTAAATGTCTGCATCATTAAGTCTATACCATGTCTATGCTATACCTATGCCCGTGCTCAAATTTTTGTGTCTATGCCCATGCCTGTGCCAAATTTTTGTGCCTATACCCATGCCCGTGCCAAATTTTTGTGCCTATGCCCATGCCTATGCCAAATTTTTGTGCCCATGCCCATGCCAAATTTTTATGCCCGTGCCCATGCCCATACCTGAATTTTCATGCCCATGCCCATGTCTGTGCCTTCTGTTGGGCATGGGCACAAGCCCGGGTTGCAGACCCCTAATAGAAATCTATTCAACAAGTCTGAAAATAATAGACTTAAATTATAAAACAAACAGAATACAACAATACTTGATGATAACTGAAAAATAGCAAATTTCTTAGGTACTGAAAATGTACATCTAATAGCCATTATATGAAATATACTCCATACTTATGAATAGATTCAGTACAAAAAAAAACAAGAAAACTAAATATAACTGAAGAAAAAAAAAGTTCAATTAAATTAGACATAGCTGATAACAAGTTCTTGAATAACACCTTTGCAACTAGAAATAATATAATTGCTATAGAAATTATTTTTGCACAACCAAATATAGTTATTAGCAAATATGATAGCCATATTACACAGCCCAGAAATAATGACAAATCTTACCCAATCCCTATAAAAATCTCTTTAACACAGCTCAGCACTATATCTAACAATCCCAATAACAATATGGCAATCGATAACCCAAGTACTTCATGCAAAAGAATTTATACAGAACAAGAAGTTGATAGTTATTCAACCAAAAGCAATATAGAGTTAATTAAAGAAACCTTATTACAAAATAAATGTGGGGGTTTTGGACTATGGTTTAGAAAGGAAAATAATCATGAAAACACAAAACCAACTAATATGGTAAAGGAAAAAAGAACTAAGTATTACAAAGATATCTATAACTAAGAATAGACTCTGAAAGGAAATTTCATACTTCAGAAAGAATCAAATACTTCACAGTACTTCTTTACAATCTGGGATCTTCCAAAAGAAATAAATTTTATTAAAATTAAAAAGTATCTTGACTATTTTGGAATAGCAACATTTCTAGCTTAGCAACAATAACACAAAATCAAAGTAGTATATATCAAAATCGCAACAATATTAAGAAAAGAAAAAACTTATTAAAAGATAACTAGTCAATATATTTGGATCAAGAAAAACCTATAGAATAACACCAGAAAAATTTAATTACAGTGAGCTAGAAAAAAGAAACAAATACAAAACCACTATCTTTAATATACCCAAAACTGCACTGGATAGCTTACTACTTCAGCAACTAAAAAGATACAAAGTATAAGCAGTACATATTCTAAGCAATTATAATAGAAATCAGTACAGAAGAGTATATATATACTTCAAAAAGAAGAAAACCTAGTACAAGCTTAAAAAACAAACCTCTACTACTATAGTACTAAGCTAGACTAGCAACTACCTTTAGCAGAATCAAGCACTAAGAGTATATCTAATACTCAACACTACTACAAAAATAAGCCTAATGATAACAATTATCACAACAACAAAAGGAAAATTTCACTGTGTGATTCAAACTTACCTAGAAACCAATATCTAAATAAAAAGCTCAATTATGCTTATAATTCAAACAAAACAACTAATTATTATAACAATAACAAATAAAACCAGATATAGCTCAAGCTTAACAACAATACAAGTCTATAGTTAAAAAAAAGATCTTTACTTAACAATACAGAACATAATAGCTCAACTTCCAAAAGACAGCATTTAGGTAAGAGATAAACCAAAAACTTAATATTTCTAATACATAAGACTATGAGGGGAAAATACTTGAAACAGTAAAAGAACAGAAAAACAAGTTATATCAACTAATGAATAAAAACACAGAGATGAAAGCTATTTTAAATCAAATATTGTTTAGACTTAACTAACTAAAAGACAAGTATAGTCAACAAGTAAGTGTCAAAGAGAAGGAAGTTTCTAATCACTTCTAAAAGGCATTACAGTTGTCTCAAAGTATTCAAGTGAGGCAAGCACCTCACTAAGCTACGAAACAAATATAGAACAAATAACACAACTTAATATAACAAATTTAGATTTTTTAAATTTTGGTTTTCATAATATAAATAGATTTAAGACAAACAAAATAGAATAGATCTAATTTTAGATTTTATAAAAAAAAAAAAGTTGAACATTATGGGTTTAGGAGAAACAAATATTTTAGAACAAGAAGGCAAATTTTTACTTTGAAAAAACAATTAATATAAAAGATTCTAGGCAGTAGCAGATAAAAACAAACATAAAGTCTTAGAGGTAGAAATTATTTTGAAAAAAAAAATAGAAGCAACATGTCTCCAAAATAGAAAGTATAAATCACTACATACTCAATATAAAACTAGACTTTAAAAGACTAAGACTTTGTATAGTTATAGTATATATAGTGCCTTCCAACAATAAGATACAAGAAAAAATCTATAAATATTTACAAGATATTCTAAACCAACCTAGTCACAAGCCAAACAAGTTTATTATATTAGATGACTTTAATATAGAAATAGAAAGAAAAACATATAAAGAATATACAAAAAAAGAGAAAGCCAAAGTTAAAAAAAAAACAAAAAGAAACAAATTATAGATCTTTTAAAGAAGAAAAATTTCAAGGATATATTAGAATTAATCAATTCTAACAAACATATAACAACTTGGGCTAGTAAAGGAGTAGAAACAAAAATAGACTATATATAAGATTTCAAAAAGCTAAGAAAGAAATATCATTGCAGGCAAAATATATGAAGCAGATCTAATCACAGCAAGCAACTACAAGATACTTATAGCCAAAATAAAAACCAGTCTTAGTGAAAGAAAAATATCCCAAGCAAAACTATGAAAAAAGAAAATAAGAAAATCTGCATAGATCTTAAACAAGCCTCAGAAGAGGATTGGAAAAAATACAAAGAAAGGCTTAAAAAGAAGACTCAAAAAAAATTTAAAAGCAAATTTAAACAAACTACCTCTAAGACTACTCTTGTGGCAAATTTAGTTGACAAAAATATTTCAAAAAGCAAGAAAGTCCTAAAAATAACAAACTTAGATAAAACCTGGAAAAAAATTGTTCAATGCATTCAAACAGCAGCAGACACAACCTTACTCAAAAAAAAATACATACTGAAGTTTTCAAACCTATAGCCTAAAAATAAAGACTTGCTAGAAATTAAGTCAGAAATCAAAATAACTAGAAAATAGTATCAAAAACTAAAAAAAAGTAAACAAAATATGACCAAAAAAGAAAACAAAAAAAACTCTTTCTGGTTCTTCACTAGAACACATAAACTGAAAATTTATAAACAAGACTTAGCAGCTCCTCCTCAAAACCTACAAGAAAAAAAGGCCTCATGGCCTAATAAACACAAACCTGCTCTACTAGATATGGGTAAACAACTAAAAAACAAAAAGACCAGACTCTCAACCAAGGCAGAAAAGAAAACAAATACAAAATTTTTTGCTTGGTAGAAAACAAAGAAAACCAAGACACTGCTGCCTTCTTGAGCTCTAACCTACAAAATTGCCAAAGACCTAATGCTAAGAAACTAGAAAAACCTAACCACATGGTTCGCACTAACTGGGCTGCTCAAACAGAGAAAAAAATAAAGAACCAAGAAACAAAAATGAACAATACTATGGAAAAACTTGGGGAAAATAACTAATTTAACGCACAACAAATGCAAGTAAACACAACAGAACATGTGTCTCAAGACAACAAAGCACCAGAAGAAAAACACATGAACCAGAAAAACAATGTAAACAAGAAGGTACACATAAACCACATGATGGACACTCACCTAGACAATTATGCCAATCAATTAGATGATAGACAAGATAAAATAAATAAATCTCCACCTGGTCTAGCTTTTTAATATATTAGTATCTTCAGGCCCACTGGCAATGAGAATAAACCAAAGCAATGGTCTGACCTCTTTACAAAACTTAAAGAAGAGAAGGCAAGCTTCATGAACCAAACAACCAGAAGTAAAATTTCCTATAAGAATGAAAATGCACTAATCATTGATATATATAGTTTACATAACATCTTAACTAATAATATAATCGCAACTCTAGCTCTCAAACTTAAAGGAGATCTTATAATAGCCAAAAGCCACTCATTTAGAGGAAAAAGAACCTCTTTTAATCTTGTCTTCAAGAACAAAGAAAAAGTGCAAAAATATGCAGCAGAGGGAATTCCCATATTTCAACAAACTTTTTTCAGTTATATTCTTGTAAATCTAAAATGCTTATTCCTAACAGAAACTCACTCTTGGGCGAAGTAGAACATACTACAAACCTTATCCTCAAAGCTTTCCAGGATATTGGTCAAATCGCTACAATAAAGACTCTCCTTTTGAGAGAACTAAAATCTACACAGACCAATGGCTAGTTACTTTTGAAACAACAGATGATTCTGATCTACAGTCCAAAATCTCAAGAAACACACATATAGGTGATTACAAAGTAACAACAGAATGGAAAGAAGCCCCCAAAGTGTATTACTACTGTGAAAAGGAAGGCTATATTAAAAAAGAATGTACTGAACTCAAGGCTTCAATAGAAGCTAGACAACTTCTGAAAGAAGCCAAACTTCGAAAAAAAAGGCAATGGTTTACAAATTGGATCCCCCAATTCTGAAGTTTAGCCCAGACAACCCCTATACTAAAGAAATATCAGATATAATAGAAGTAGATACTCTACCCCAAAAGCAGGTTGCAACAACCAACTCAGAACCAGACAGATTAAACGTAGTACTACAAAATGTAAAATCCAATTCATTAGCAAAAGAATCAGACATACCTATACTAGATTCTCAGAAAGAAGAATTATTGCCAACTCAAACAGAGCCAAGCATATCAGACAACACAAAACTAGAACTCCCTTTTATAGTTGTCATTAACAGAAAACCCAAAAACAAAAACAAAGAAAGAAGCATTGAGAAAAACAAGAACCTTTCTTACTCTGATCAAAATTTAAAGACCTTGAGAAGCACCTATTAGGATGCATCCAAACCCAATGCTTAACACTAGAACCCTTCCTTTTAGTATAGCCAAAATCATCTATTTTCTTTTATATTTAAAATCGCTATACTCAATATAAAAGGTCTGAACAATAGACCCAAGGCTCAAAAAACTCTTACTCTTCTCAAGTTATACAACTTAGACATTATTCTAATTCAAGAAACCAACCTTAAAGACCCTTCCACAAGAAAC